GTCGGACGCTTAACCGACTGCGCCACCCAGGCGCCCCCCCCCTAGTATTTTTTAACATAGGTTAAAAGACTGTACAGTGAGCATCGATAACATCTGCCTCATGGATTGTTATGTGCTTAAGGACATCTTGCCCCTTTACTTCTTCTTGCTCTTTTTTAGGGTTACTATGGAGTTAAAGGTTTTACAGAAGTGGTGTTTTACAGTCAGTTACAACCTTTTTGTGTTTGATACAGAATTATCCTAAGTTTGACCAGTAAGAGCCTCTTAAGATGCATCTGTGTCTTTTTGGCGTGGTCCTTATTAGTCTGAGCCGGCGTCCTTACTTTCTAAAATACCGAGTTATGGGGCGCCTGGGTGGCGCAGTCGGTTAAGCGTCCGACTTCAGCCAGGTCACGATCTTGCGGTCCGTGAGTTCGAGCCCCGCGTCAGGCTCTGGGCTGATGGCTCGGAGCCTGGAGCCTGTTTCTGATTCTGTGTCTCCCTCTCTCTCTGCCCCTCCCCCGTTCATGCTCTGTCTCTCTCTGTCCCAAAAATAAATAAACGTTGAAAAAAAAAAAAAAATTTAAAATACCGAGTTGCCTTTGCTTACCTTGAACTTTTCTGTCCTAAACCTGGAATCTTGTCGTTTCTCCAAGAAACCTAGGTTCCGTAGAGTAAGGGTTGATCCTATAAACTAATATCTGAGGACTAGACCTGCTCCTCATTGCCACTACCATGTCATCACTTGTAGGCTATTTCAGGGGACAGACAAGGCTTTTTAAAAAAATTTTTTTTTTCAACGTTTATTTATTTTTGGGACAGAGAGAGACAGAGCATGAATGGGGGAGGGGCAGAGAAAGAGGGAGACACAGAATCGGAAACAGGCTCCAGACTCTGAGCCATCAGCCCAGAGCCCGACGCGGGGCTCGAACTCACGGATCATGAGATCGTGACCTGGCTGAAGTCGGACGTTTAACCGACTGCGCCACCCAGGCGCCCCCAGACAAGGCTTTTTAAATCATGGACTTATATTCATAATTTCCCATCCAGATTTAACATTTTAAGGGTTTTTTTCTTGGTCTTTCTAAATTTTACATTTATGTGTTCTTCCACTAAAACGTTAATTTCTAATATTAATATATTTTCTTTGTCCTACAGTATACATAAAATAAGGTAAAATTGTACCAGTGTTACTATTAATGAAAACTATTGATTGAGTGAAGTAAGAAATGTTTGATAGTTACTTTGTGCTTCATGCATTGAGGCAGTACAGTTAGAATGCAGACTGTTGTAGGCCACAGATGGATGATGTTCCTTGGTTCTGGAAATTTGGTAGCCATTGTCTGTTCAGATCCTGTTCTCTTTCTCCCCTCTGCTTTAACGCTCTCCCCCGTGCTCTGTGGCTCTTAACACCATCTCTTTGTCTCTGTGATTGATACACTCTGGATGATTTCTTCAGGGATGTCTTCCAGCTCACTAAGTGTCTTTTTAATGGCGTGTAATCTGCCTTTACACTCATCCACTATGTTTCTGGTTCCGGTTCCTATATTTTTTTCATTCTGGCATCCTTATAATTCTCCTTAACATTTTTCTAGTGTTATTTTTTACCTGTATTTTTAATTCATTTAGTTCTTCAAACACAGCGAATAAACGTAGCTTGTGTTCCGAGTGTGATCATTCTGATGTCAAGTTCTTATGAATCTCATTCTGTTGTTTCTGCCGGCTCTCTTGGTGTCCTGTTTCCTTGTGTTTCTTGTAAATTTTGATTGTGAGCTCATTTTTTGAGGTCTTGATAGAAACTCTTCCTTCAGGGGAGGATTTGCTGTGTCTTTCCTCATGTGCCCAGGGGTGGTGTTGGTCTAGTACCGCTTTATATTTCAGATTGTTGTCTGCAGGGCTGTCTGCAGGATCATCCAGAGAGTCAGCATTTAGTCCTAGGTTAGGACTGGGTGGTCTTCACCAGTTCTCACAGGGCGTTTGGTTTTCCTCTCCATCCATTCATCGTCAGTGTTCAGGCTTGCTTTTCCTTTTGCTTTGTGAGCTTTGTCTCTTAACCTTGTGTGCCCTGTGAACTAAGGCCTCAAGTCTGTTAGGATCGATGAGTGCACTCTGGACGGTCTTGCCTCTGTGTTTAGCTCACTTCTCTGGGGTTTTACTTTCACTTAGGTTTGGACTCCTGGGAACTCCTGGGAACTCCTAACTATAATTTGATGTACTTTAATATTCAGCATTTTTCAAACCTTTTTTTTTTGTGGACTGCAATACTGATACGGAAAAATGGACAAAGTAAAGATAGCTGCTTAATTTATCACAAATCAAGCATGCATGTAACTACCACCCAGAAGTCCTCAAAAATGTGAATGTTGCCACCATCTGTGAACACTGAAGATTTTGTGAAGATTTCATATTGTCTCTATTCTTTTGTGACTGCCTTCTTTCACTCAGCATTCTGTTTCTGGGGTTCTTCTGTGCCCTGTGTAAGTGTAATTCATTCATTTTCATTGCCATGTGGTATCTATTTGTATCAAAATACTGTAATTTTTCCTTCTACTTTTTTTTAAATGTTTATATTTGAGAGAGAGAGAGAGAGTGTACGCGAGCAGGGGAGGGGCAGAGAGAGACAGAGAATCTGAAGCAGGCTCCAGACTCTGCACTGTCAGCACAGAGCCCGATGCGGGGCTCGAACTCCCAAGCCATGAGCTCATGACCTGAGCTGAAGTCGGACATTCAACTGACTAAGCCACCCAGGCACGCCTTCCCTCTCCTTTTGATAGACGGTTGAGTTGTTTCCACTTTTTGATTTTCACAAATAATGCACCTTTGAACCTGCTTCTACATGCCTCCCGTGCTCCATTCCTCACCAGATTTAGCCTTCTTCACCATCCTCTAGGCTACTGGTATTTTCAAGCAGGAATTTTTTATTTCTGAAATTTTTGGGACGCCTGGGTGGCTCAGTCAGTTGAGCATCTGACTTCGGCTCAGGTCATGATCTCACAGTCCGTTGGTTCGAGCCCCGCGTCAGGCTCCGGGCTGACAGCTCAGAGCCTGGAGCCTGCTTAGGATTCTGTATCTCCCTCTCTCTCTGCCCCTCCCCCGCTCATGCTCTGTCTGAAAAAATAAGTAAAACTTTTTAAAAAATTATCAAAAAAGATTGGAACATAAACATGTAACAATGAGAGCCTCTTGAGTTCTGCCTTGTGGAATTCCGTATCTTGCAGCATTTCAGTATGTGATCTGAAGATGTTAAAATACAAAATGAGAGGTGCCTGGGTGGGCACAGTTAGTTAAGTGACTTCAGCTCAGGTCATGATCTCTTGGCTTGTGATTTCAAGCCCCACGTTGGGCTCTGTGCTGACAGCTCAGAGCCTGGAGCATCTTCAGATTCTGTGTGTCTCTCTCTCTGCCCCTCCCCTGCTCGCAATCTGTCTCTTTCTCTCTCAAAAATAAATAAGCATTTAAAAATAATAATAAAAAATACAAGGTGAATGGGTCAGAGAAGAGCCCCCTAAATTATGGTTGGGAGGTTTTTTGTTTTGTTTTCCAGAAAGTATACTTCCCATTCTACCTCTGTGTCCTATACTGTAATTCTGTATTTCACACTTTAGAAAATACGTAAAAATAGAAAACGTTTTTAAGGGTGAGACTTTAAAAAACAGGAGTTGTAGTAGTTTCTTCCAGTACCCTAGCAGATCATCTTTCATGCATCCCACTTGGAGACCATTGGCTTCACTCGTGGATAACTAGTCTATCAAAGAAGCTTCTTCACTGTGTGACCTTTTTATCTTTCCCCAAATTCCCGATACCTGGCAGTTTGTTGGGTTGTAGTAGCCACACTTACCAAAACATTACGAACAGGCATGTTTGAAATGGAGGAGCTGTTCCACTTCTGGGTTCTAGTATGTCCAGATGTGCACGTGAACAGAGTTTAGACCTTGAGGCCTTTCCCCGTAGATACTGAGTGATTCTTGGTGATGGCTAATCCTCAGGTCAGCCTGCCAAGATCTGTATAACCCGTAATGCTCATCACTTCATACCAGAAAAGAGAATCGCCGTTAGTGACTGTGGTTTCAAAGAGAAACGTGCTCAGAGTTCTTGACCTGGGGTGCCTCTCCTTGCTATAGCTGTGGTGCAGGAAGAGGATTTTCCCTCTCTGGGTCTCTGGCACTATGTTCCAGTAGACTGGGCATGGTGATCACCAAGAGAGCTTGGATATGGTAAGCACATGGGGTTCCTGAAGTGATGGTGAAGAAGAAGATGTGGAGGGATGCCGACCAGTGCTGACCAGGTCCTTGAGTAGGCTGAGGAGGGGGCTTTGCAATCGGGCCGATAGCCCTCGGCGTTGCAGGAGAAGCATGCCTCTCCATTGCTCGGTTCCCCAGCACTGGCCCGTGGGTGAGAAGAGATGCTGGAGGGGAGTGCTTTTCCTCTGTCCTCTTCCTGTCTTATTTACCTACTTACTACCTGTCTTAACAAGTAAAGGCTCCAGTATTGGAGCCAACACGGGGCAGGAGAGACCTGGAAAGGAGAGAGTTGAGAATCATGGAGCGGAGTCATCCTAAGAACCTGCAGGAGCAAGGGAGGGGAAAAGGATGGAGGAGCCATCCCGCAGGGAAGCCCCGTGGCCCTTACGTGGCCCGTAAGCTTCCCTGCTACTGCAGCGGCTTGTGCTGCATGCCACCCAGGCTGTTGCTGTCGCTGTGGAATCGTCCCAGGAGCTCAGTTTGTTGCCATATTGGGTCATTTCGGGGTGAAGAACCTTGCTGGTTAACATTTGTTAAATCTGGGCAATGATACATCAGCGTGTGTTATTTATATTCCTTACCTTTATTTTTTTTTTT